GGATGTGCTTCTTTCATAAGCATTTGTGAGTGATGCTGTTTTCTGACAATGCAGAATACCCGGCTCAGAGAAAGGGTTGAAAAATCAAAAATATGAGCCATGGGACCGAAACTCACGGCAGCTGTGGGGACTTCTGCAGTGTGGTCCCCCGTCCATGCGGCCCCCTTGCGGCAGGAGACAGAGCCTGTGGCCAGCAGTGTCACATGTGGGCTGCTCAGGCATCCGCTTGAGACCAGGCAGCCTGGAACGTGGGGTGCTCCAGGAGCACAGCTGGGCAGCTCTCAGCAGAAAGGCAGCGATGGTTTGGCTTGATAGGTGGTGATCACGTGTAGGTGGCTTCTTAAAATTTTGTTTTAATTTTTTGGGTACTGGGAATCAAACTCGATCTCGCACTTGCCAGGCAGGCACTGTGCCACTGAGCTATATCACCGGCCTGGGTGATTTATTTTCAATAAAGAGATCAAGATTTGTATCGCAGCAAATGGTGTTCTTCCTTTCATGTTTACCAGCACTGCCACCATTACGTTTATATCTCATTCATTCATACATTTACTCAACAGGTTTTTGTTCACCAGGTGCCAGGGGTTTTTGAAGTACTAGACTTTTATCAGTACATCATTTTAAGAAGATTCCTGCTTATGGAATTTCCATTCTTAGGCAGGCCTTGTGTTAAATAATTTATAGTTGTTATTTTACTTAACATTTACACTACCCTGGGAGGCAGGCAATATCATCCCCATGTTACAGATGAAGGAACTGAGGCCCAGAGAAGGGAACGGCCCCTGTCACACAGCAGTATCTGAAGGCAGGCACAAGGGACTCTAATGCCTGGGCCCTTGGGTGTTGGGCCAGCTTCCTGGGGACACAACTGAGTGGCAAATGAACTGCATGTATTAGTCAGACATTTGTGCTTTAGGCATGAGGCCACCTATGCTCTCTGCTCGTGTGGAAGCCTTTGGTTTCAGAAGTACACTTGCTAGATTTGGGTTATTTTTATTTTTTATTTTTTTGTGGTACTGGGGATTGAACTCAAGGCCTTGTGCATTCTAGGCAAGCACGTAGCACTGAACTACATCCCCGGCCCTAGATTTGGATATTTTAATCAAATGGAGACAAAAATCACCTCCTCAGGTAATATTGCTTAATGTTCTCACATGCACATGCTGCGTGCTTCCTTTTTCTTCCAGTGTTGCCTTCAACTAGGATGTTTTTGCAAGCGTTTTTCTCAAGTTCTGTGCTCTTGCAGGCCCACACTGTTGCCTTCCTGTCAGAAGTAGCTGGGCAAAGCTCCTGTCAGCATGGGAGGTATTGCCGTGTCTTTTGTCAGTTGGTGTAATTGCATCAAGGTGCGTGTTTACAGTGGCAAGGGATCATTTAGTCCTTGGGAATCCTGCTGCAAAAAAGTAGCCTATCGTTTTGGTCTTTTGTTATTATTATTAATTTTTTAAACAATCACTTGACTATAGCTTATCAGTAAGAAATGGTGCTTGATGGGTGTTGCATCAGTACCGTCCTGTGTTTGAGCTTAAACCCAAGGCCTGTGTCTCCTAGGTATGTCGCCACCATGGAGGTACATCCCTAGTTTAGAGTTGAGTTTCTTGAATTCTAAGCAGAGATGTTATTTCTGGCAGCTCATAGTACCTGAAGTGTCTTTTGAGGCTGGGTCTACAACTCTGGGTTTGATCTCAGCACTAGCAAAAACAAGCCTTGCATGGTCTGGGGATATAGCTCAGCAGCACAAGCGCCTGCCTGGTGAGTACAAGGTCCTGAGTTCGATTCCTGGTACCAAAAAAAAAAAAAAATAAATAAAAAAACCGAAAAACAAGCCTTGCATTCTTGTTAGTTTTTAGTTATTTATAGATTAGTGGATTTATTTATCTTTGCACTGGGCACTGTTATAATCAGCCCCATTTTATGATGAAGGAAATAGGTTTCAGACGGCATCAGAGTTACTGAGATAGCTGGGTATGGTCGTGCATATCTGTAATACCAGCATTTGTGAAGGTAGGATCATTGTAAGCTCAAGGCCACTCTGGGCTATGGGGTGAGTTCAAGACCAACTTGGAATACACAGCGAGGGCCTGTCTCAAAAAAATTACTGAGATGATTTGCTTTCTAGGTATACTGGTTTTGGAGCCTGGATGTTTCCAACACACTTACATTTTTAATTACAATTCATGTAATCTCAAAAAAAATTTTTGAGGAAGATGCACCAGATCAAACCCAGGGCCTTGTACATATGAGGTAACTACTCGTTACTGAGTTACACCCTCAGCTCTCTCTGCCATATTTTATCCTTGTACATCTTCCACTTCTTCTCTGGAAATGCTTGTAAGCCTGACTTTGTGAACATAGTCTGGGGCACTAGTGGTGAGCCTATGGCATGACTCTTTGTTATTATTGGAAGCTCTGAAAGGTTTGCAATCACTGACCTAGGATACTCATGTCCTCAATTATAATCAGGTTAGCAACAGTTTTGGTTTAGTTTCAACCAGACATGTAGTAAAATAATGGATTTTCATGGATTAACGTATGTGCATATACATGTGATTTTCCCTCCAACCTTTATTAAGAAAGCTGCAAAAATGCAGAAGTCAAAAGAACTGTACAGTAAATGCCCATAAACCCAACACTGAAATTCAACAGTTGTTAACACTTTGCTTTATTTGCCTCCGTGTCATTTTGCATTGTGTGCTTCAGAATTGAATACTCCTTAAATAGTGACTTATTTTTTCTCAGAGAGTTTTGCCAAGGAGTTTAATTTTAGATGCTTGTTAACACATACGTTGTGTTATATTATTATCTTAGAACAAAGCATTAAAAATACCAAGTCTAGTTTTATTTGGAAACATGCTGGTTTTGGAATTTTAGGATAGAGAACTAAATTGACAGTATTTTACTCTTGTTTCAAAGCCTAACGAACTTGATAAACTTTCTTACACAGTTTGAAACCCCAAGGTGACTATACATTTATAGGATGAAAGTTATTTTGGTGGTCAGTGGTTAATAAAAAAAGAGAACCAGACAATGCAAATCCATTTGAAATATCTAAGGCATGTTGGAATAATTCATTCTCACAGGTATTTCTGGCATAAAGGGGTTTAAATATAAAATGTATCAAATGATCTGAATTGTTGTAGACTCTCAAAGCGGAAGTAGACTGGGGACAGGCTACATTTCTGTGCAGGTAATTGTTCTTCCAACACATTTTTCTCCCTGGGAAGTATAAGCTCTTTAAAAAATTTCCGTCTTTCTTTCAGCATAGTTTTTCCCCTTCACACTTAGGAGACTTTTTCCTGTCTCAGAGTTATATGGAAGGCTTTCTTTCATGCGAAGTAATATATTTTATTTCACCCTTTTAAAAAAAAGTAACACATGATGCTGTTATATCTAAAGGAATAGGAGCTCTTTGTCTTAACCACATTCTTACATCTTCTGTGTTTACCTAGAGTCTTTTTAAACACACACTAACACATCAAATTAACATTTGGGGAATTTCCACATTTTGTTGTGTGGCTTGGTTTCCATGGTGACCTTCTGACTTCAGTCCCCAGGCCTGTGGTTCCCTAGGCAGTGCTTCCTCATCCTCCCTCTGCTCCCTACTGCTGACCAGCTCTGTGACCATGAGTAGTAGCTCGCTTTGTTTCTTTATCTGTAACCGGGAGGGGTGCACTATAGTTTTTTCTTCCAGGTCTACTCCACTAGCAAAAAGTTTCTTGGTTCTGGTTCACATTCAAGTTTTTATGGCAGTTAGAATAATTTTTGTAACTGTTAGGCTGATGATTTTATGTAATGGCTTTTATTTGCCAGTTGAGATTAGAGAGCATACCTTCAAGTATGTATTAAACTACATTTTTTGTTTGTTTGTTTGTTTTCTGGTACCGGGAATCGAACTCATGACCTCATGCTTGCGAGGCAAGCGCTGTGCCGCTGAGCTATATCCCCAGCCCCTAAACCACATATTGAAAAAAATTACGAGAGGCATGGTGGTGTGTGCCTGTAATCCCAGCACTCAGGAGGCTGAGGCAGGAAGATTAATTTGAGTTCAAGGCCAACATGGGCCACATAATGAGTTCAAGACCAGTCTGAACTGCAAAGTAAGACCCTCTCTTCAAAGAAACAAAAGAAAACAATAAATGAAAAATTTCTATTTATGTGCATAGGGATGTCTGTATGTATATATGAGATACATTTTTTTCTTATCTAGGTAAAGAAGTAAAAGCTTATCTGTCTATAGCAGAATCTCTCGTTGCCTATGTAGATCCATTCACGTTTTAAAAATAATAAAAATACTGTTCTACAAAGCTGCACATGCTTGTCCAGGTTTACTTGTCTGTCTGCCCACTTAGAATATGAACATCATGAAAACTGTTTTCTTCTATAGAAAATAATTTCAAAAATTTAAATAGTGCCACACAGATGTGATCTGTTCTTTTATTCAGTAGCTCTCATCTCTCTCCCAAAACACTAATATAAAATGTTATAAATGTTGCTTTATTTCTGGGATATTTCTCATGAAAGGATACAGCAAGATTTAAAAACACATTGAGCCTGTGGTATACAACCTTATGGTAATTTGATGCATATTTTTGATAAAATAACACCATGTTGAGGTAACAAGGACTTCCAGTGTAAGGCCCTACAGTTTAGCTCACTTAAAAAATGAAATAACTTCAGCAAGGAACACAGAATAAGTATATACCCACTATTTTGCAAATCATGAAATAATTTCTGAGGGCTTCTCTTGAGGCAGGATTTTTATAGCCATAACATTCCAGCTGTGGTTTTGGGAGCAGAATGTTTACTACCGTCCTGAATACAAGGATGGGAAGTGTGTATTCCTACTGCTGCGGGCTTAAAAAAAGAGCAGAGAGTCCCTGAAGTGAGTAAACCTTTATTCAGAAAACCGGAGAGCTGCGCTCGTATGGAACTTTGGTGGTAATTGTGGAATGCACGCCAACAAGAGGCCAGTCATGGGCAGCTGGGTGTCTCAGGCGAGGTGGCAGGCTGTCCCGGCTAATCACTTCAGGCAGCCCTTGGAAAACCACTTTCTGGTTAAGTCTGCATCATACTGTTCCACCAATGGAAAAAATTGAACATGATGAGGGTGTGTAGCTAGCAGACAAAAATATATCCAGCATTGCACAGGATCTGTTTTTAGCTTTCAACGGCTGAGCATTTGAAGTGTTAGACACTGTTTCCTGGCTTACCATGGGCAGAAGGAAGAGAGAGCTGGAGGATGTGGGTATAGATTTTAGCTCCGTGAAACTTTTTCTGTTAACTAAAAGACCCTGAGAAAAACTGGCTGCATCCAAAATTTTGACAAAGGTAAGGCTATGAATGTTTATTTCCCTCCTTTTGGAGCTGCGACTTAATTTTACATGCATGATATAAATCTTTTTCCAAAAGCCCCCTTTGGTGCTTTATCCTCGGGTGCCGACTTACCATTTTATACTATTTTGTATGTAGGCAGCACACCCTGCTGTGCACACAGGAATTATTATTTATAAATTTGAGTGTCTATACGCTTTATGTTTTCTTGAAGTTGACCGCTGCATTTTATCTATAAAGAATTCTCCAAAAGCTAATTGTATGGATTGCTTTTCTCTGATGTCTTTGGAAAGTGCTATTTCTCAGTCTGATCATGTTAAGATATTAGTGACTGCTTGTCTTTCGTAGTCAGTTCTTTCAGAGTGGAATGGGACGTTAGAATGTGCCTGAGATAGGATTTTGTAGGTTCCTGGTTATTATATAATCTCAACAGCCTTAGATTTTAGCTGAGTAGGCTTTTTGGTCGAAGAGTTTCTTTTCAAACTTATAATTTGATGTTCACTGTTTAGTATTGTTTATCCTTAAGTTTTGACTCAGACTTTCTGAAGAGAAGAATCCCTCATAATCGGAGGGGAGGGGGTATGGTTTTTCAAGGCAGTGATCCTTGTGGGTTGTCATCAAGCCAACTTGCTGCTATTAAGGCTGAACCCACGGAGCACACGCAAGTGTGTGTGTGCTGATCAGCGCCAATGGAAGAGCCCCAGCTTCCGTGCAGCTCTTCCTTGGCTTGACGTTAATTTGGCCCAGCGTGTAATTCTCAGAAAATTGGTAGGTGGAGAGAGACAGAAATAGGAAGCTTCACTGAAGTCATTGTAACTTTGAAGATTATTTTTAGGATTTATGGAAAGTAAGGGTACGGCTGTACAGCTGCTGGAGCATTTCCTAACACGTTTCAGCATTTTACTGTGGCCTCTATTCACCCTCAGCCATACTCAAACTCTCTGTTTACTTTCAGTATAAGGAGTTATTTTTGGGTGAGCAGTGTGTGCTCCTTTTCAGTTGTACGAGGACTATCTTCTCTCTGTGTTATGTGTTGCCAGTTCCTTCGCTTCCTGCATAGAAATGTCTCTTAGGAAGGGGATGGAATGGTGAGCCCGGGTGAGTGAAGGTGGAATTAATATAACCGGACACTTTTTATTGATTACTTTTCTTTTTAATCTAACAACTGCTGCTCTGGCAGGGCCGGTGGCCGTTCAGAGCAGGAACAGAGCGAGGGTTGCCTGCCATCTCCTCTAGTGAGATTAACACTTGTCACTGACTTTGATTTCTACCAGAGCCTGTAGACAGACGAAGTCCATACAGACCCAAGTCCATCCTCCCAGTGCTGTGCCTGCATGCAGATAACGCCTTCTTCCAGGGTTTTGGCACAGACAGAGCAGTTCACAGAGACCTCTGTCAGGCCAGGCCTGTGCGAAAGAGGCCTGGAGGTGCAAGGTAACAGTTAGGGCCCTTCAGACAGAGCTTATCTTTCCACTGTGGACCCTCAGTTACCACTAAGGAAGACAAATGATTGTGCCTGGGTGGTCCCAGCTTGTGTTTGAGTAGAGCAATATTTTGTTCTGCAAAGTTAGTGCAGGGTTCCAGCAACCTCTTGCTGCTGTAAACATCTGATGAAAGAACCCAGAGCTCATGTTCTGCAGATATATGACAGGGTACTTTACTGGGTCCATATGTGTTTTTGGTCTGGCTGATTTGCAAGGTTTACTTGTGTACTGATAATAGGGTGAATGAGATCCCTTAGCTCAACTGTGAAATTTAAAAAAAAAAATCACTTCCTTTTTATGAAACATTCAGAACAAGGCCATGTTGGACCTTCCTTTTTAATTTTTAAGGGATAGTTTGCATTTTCTCCTTTGCAGTTAAACATACCTTACATATAGGCCAAGGTAAGGGGCTGGGGATTTAGCTCAGTGGCACAGTGCTTGCCTGGCAAGCACAAAGTTGTGAGTTCGGTTGCCGGTACCAGAAACACCGCCCCCCCTCCAAGAAGCCAAGGTAATAATGGGTTTATGAGAAATGGAGAACAGAGAAAGAAATACAACAATATTGAAGATAGAAAATGTAATAATGATGATCGTAGATAAGCCTGAATTTCTGATGGTTAAATTTTAATAATAATGGACTGCTCATTCTTATTTAAAACAGGCTTACAAATGTTAGGATTTAATCATGTTCCAGGAATGTAATGTACACTCCATTTTCAGTTAGCTATAGTCAATAGGATCATGGAAATAGGATCTCAGAACTGACAATGGGTTGTAGACATTTTCTTAAATTGGAAAATGGAAAAAAATCACAGAACTGAAATGACATGTCCAAAGTAACAGTGACGGCTAGTTGCCCAGCTCAGATGAAATTCTGGGTAAGAATCCTTTTTCTTATATTACTATTTAATTTAGAATACTTTGGTATATTCCATTCTGATACATATTAGTAAATCAATAGAGACAGGTATGTACATACATGGAGGTATATGTACATATGTGTATCACATATAGATAAATGTATGCATATATGTCTACATGTACATGTATCTATCCATTTCTGCCTTCTTAGTTCCACCCAGCCTTTTTTATTCTTTCGGTTTAGTTTTTCACCTTCTTATCTTTTTATGGGACATTCAAAACAAGGCCATGTTGGACTTTCTTACTGATCAGACAGATGTAAAGCTCTAGTCAGAGGCAAAAACTTTTGCTTTTCTTGGAGCCTAATGAAGTTCAGAGTTGAGCACTGACAGTGACCATCAACTCTGTATTACTGTCATAGAGAATTTTAGGTACCAATAGGTAAGTTGCTCTAACCTATTTGATAAGACAGCTTTGATTAGAATTCATGCCAGCCTGTTACTATTTCCACCTTAGATGAAGAGTTGTGTTTTTTTGCTGATCACGTTCCAGTGGAGACTGTTTAGGTTTTGTTAGCTCTGTGCCTTACAGCAGATGCTATGGAAGGGAAGAGAGACACAGCAGATGAGCTTTGGCTTCAGGGCCAAGGTAATGTAAGGCACTTTGGAAAACTAAACTTTACTGATAAAGTGCTAGATTAAGTTGTTGTTTCCAGGTGAGGAGAGGGACACGTAGGGCACACTATGTCAGGATGGAGTTGATCAGGGACTTCAGTAAAGGCTAGCCAACCCTTAGGGCAAGCCTTGAGCACAAGAATACGCTCATCCTCAGCCATGACACATCACACACCTCTGCAACTGAGGAACTGTTGAAGTAGGATTTCCAGTATGGGGATATGAAGCAGAGCTAGATAAGGAGGTTGTAGACTGGTAAGGCCCAAAGCTGAAATCTGTATGGTCGAAGGAAGTGAAAGAAACAAAGAGAATGAAAGCAAAAGTCCTCTGTGATAGTACTGAAGGTGGAAAAGTGTGTCTCACAGACAGGTGAGGGGAAACACAGACAGACAGTAAGTGGCAAATCGAGGAGGCTCATGACACAAACAGCGAGGGAAGAGTAGAGCTTCATGAAAAGTGTGCATAGGTTAATTCCACTGAAAGTTGGTAGGTGGACCACAATGAATCAGAGTAACAAAACAAATGAAATACAAAACAGTAGCAGCAGCAACTCTGTTTTGACTCTCCTTCATCGACTACCATCTGGCTCCCTTGTTTTCCTTTACAGTAAAATTCCTGTACTCTCTGTTTGCATCCTGCACTTCATTGACCTCATCCTCAAACTCAATGAAGGCCACCTTTCTGTATCCTCAGTCTACTCTGGTCAGGTGTACATGCTAAACTCTGCTAGGTCTGGTGCTTCCTGTGCAGTCCTTGTAATTGGATTCAGGCATTTGGTGCTTGTTCACGGTCTCTTCTCTGAAGTACTTTTTCCTTTAAGGGCACTATATGCCCCTTGTTTCTATTGTGTGCATGTGTTTCTTCTCATTTCCTTGATCCTTCCTGACAGGTGCCCCGGGATTCCCAGTCCCTCTTTTCTTCCATTTGTGTACTTACAGTATACAGTTTGTGTTTCAATATGATTGTCATAGATATAAGCAGCAAATGTGCACCTTTCACCACTTTACCCCTAACTCCAGCCTTGCATATCCAATTGTCCATTCAATACTGCCATTTGAATGTTCAGTAGACACCTAGCATGTCTGGCACTGAATTTTTTCTTAGTCAGCTTTCCTTTGCTGTGACAAAATGCCTAAGTAAAGCAACTTTAAAGTAGGAGAGGTTTACTTCGGCTTATGATTTCAGCAGTTTCAGTTCGTGGTTGGCTGGCTCTTTGGGGCCTGAGGTAAGGCAGGCCATCTTGGTGAGAATATATGGAGGGTCAAAGCTGCCTGCTTCATGGTGGTCAGGAAGCAGTCAGAGAAAGGAAGGATCAGGGATACCACATCCTCTTCATGGCAGGCCCACAGTGACCTTATTTCCTTCCACTAGTCAGCACCTCCTAACGGTTCCACCACTTCTTAGTAGTGTCACAAACTGGCAACCAAGCCTTTAGCATACAGGCCCTTGGGGGACATTCAGAATCCAACCCATAACATCCTCCCCACCAAACCTGCTGTGCTTCACTTTCCCCACTCCTCCTGTGGCCCAGACAGAAAGTCACAGAGTTGTCCTGGATATCGCTCACTGTTCACTTGCATTCCCTGGAGAGTCCTGTGGGCTGTCATCTCTCTTCTGCTGTGACCAGAGTCACCCTTGTGAGAGTCCTAACTGCCCCATCTCTCACCTGAATCATTGTGCTAGCCTAACACACCCTCCTGCCTCCACGTGCCTGGGCAGTCTACCGCGTACAGCAGCCACAGTGATCCTTCAAAGATAAGTCCCATCAGGACCCTCTGACTATGACCTTTCATCTCACCGTGAACACTGCAGTGCTTCAAATGTCCCGCCAGACACTGCTCTCTGCTCCTCAGCCCTGTCCAACCTCTTGTGCTCTGCTCCCTGTCCCGCTCTGCTCCAGCCACCCTGGCCTCCTTCCCACCCCGCTTCTCTGGGCCCTGGTGCTTTCTGTCACCTCTTCCTGGAGTGCTCTTTCCTG